CACATGCAGGTGAACATAACCTGATTTTTTTCCACACAACGCTAGATCTTGGAAAATTAGAGAGCTATAGGAGTATTTATCATATTACATGTATAAACATTTTTGTCGAATGATTTGAAAAACGTTCTGACATGTTTTTTAAACGTATGTGCATGGGAAAATATTTAACCGTTATCATTTTAGTAGACCTGGACCAAGACATTTAACTCTTTGGCATTGTAGATGCAAATGTGAAAAAAGAGAAATAACAGTAAAGTTTATTTTGTCAATATATTGAAATTCCATCAGGAAACAATAAAATGATGAAAAGCATTGCATAAAAATGCAATTTTTAATTTGCTGTTCAAATTATTATCCTTAAACAACGTTTGTAATAATATAATAAATAATACAGAGTCTCGGTTTAAAATGCTTAATGAAAGATACAAACAAATCATTAAATAAATGATGTTGATACCGCAAAGTATACATTATTATGTTTGTCTGAAAAGCTCCTAAATCTTTGCATGTCATTTAGGATTGCGGTGATATAGGCTTATATCCCATTACTTTCCATGTTTTTGAGCGGTCACCAATCAAAGGGTTAAACAGGCTCGCCGTTGCTTAACTTGCCTGAAATAGAGACTAAGAGAGAGACTCGACCGCATCACTAGAAAAGCTAGCTCACCAGCGAGGACGTATACATGTAATTTCCCTATACTAGCATACTGTCCGCTACAGATCTCAAACTCAAGAGTCGGATATATCTTGTATAAAAAAAAAGGTTTCTAGATAACTTGTCCTCTTTTATCCTGAGCAGTGAAACTTAAGGTGATGACCCTTTCTCAATGTTTAAATTTAAATAGATTTAATGTTTATATGTTGTTAAACGTCCATCTCGAGAATTTTTCATTTTGTAAGGAGACACCACCACTTGTCGGTGGAGAGCTGCAAATATACCTATAACCGGCACTTAGGGCCTTTGAGCAGCTAAGGATCTGTTTCATGTCAGCACTTACTGCGACACGGGACCGCGCTTTATACAGACTCATCCGAGGGACCGATCTCTATGTAGATTTAACCAGAAGAATAAGACACAAAAGTAACCTACTTAACCACCCCCCTCCCCCAATCTTTCAGAACACTTTCAGACTCCTTGTAAGTTAGTAAGGATGGTAAGATGTTCGAATATTTGATGTTAATGAAGTGACAGAGAATGGCCAGCATTCCTCCCTCCTCTGCACATGATGAAACTTCTTAGTACGAGTGTAAAATGTTGGGTAGACTGGGATAGAATATATATTACTAATATATGAGAAGCATTTTATTCGAAATACAGTCCAATGTGCAGATTTCGCACTTGAAACATGTTCTTTTTTTCTAAAAATTTCTTTATGTGTTTGTTTTTCTATGAAGACGGTAATCAGATGTTGTACATTTGTGTCAATATGGTTCGAGGACTTTAAAAGCTGCTCTGACTTACATGTTTTTCTTTGTCTCTAAACGTTTTTTTTTTGTTTGCTTTTGACTTACTGGTACACTTTCAGAGGATCTTCATGATATATAAGTGTTGACTTGTGAAACTTGCTTCATAACAACCTGTTGTTTTGATGTAACAGTTGTTTTTTTTTAAACTGTGACATGTATGTTTTTTTAACTACAGATCGGATCGCATAACTGACTTAAATATTCATGTTCGTGTTCATTGATAAAAGCACAAGCCCCTGCCACTTAATGCTGTCTCTTGGTCGGTGTTTTGAAGGCAAAGGTTGGACAAGTAATTAACATCAATTATCAAAAATATAAATTAATAGGAACTAAACTCTCGTTTGTTGTTGCTGGTTTTGAAAGATTTGGGCTGAAGTTAAGCGGTAAAATTAAAAGTGAATTTTTCTTTATAAAAGACCTATCAATTATTTGTGATGTTTTCTCTAAGTCAGCGATTCATAGGACTATTTGAACTCCACTCACATATTTTTAATAAAGATCAGAAAAAAATAAACTAACTTTTTAATAAAATAAAATATATTTTACAACAAATTAAGCACATATATAAGTCAGAACGGTAATACAATACCAAGTTATTGCGTGTAAGTAATTCACGTTTTTATTACGTCGCTATAATGTCGACGTCGCTACAAGAGAGTTTTTTTTAATAAAATAGGATGTATACTTTGAATACCTGTAAATCCGTAACGGAGCAAGATACACCCGTAATGTTTACAGGTTATATTCACCTAAGGTTCTACATCATTTAAAAAAAAAAGTCAGTTTCGAAAAGTTTTGACATAAGGGGGGGGGGGGGGTTTGCTTGGAACGGCTCATATAATTGTTAACTATATAAACTTTGACACTATGAAAACGTTGATTTACTATAGAGAACACTTTGATTTACTATGGCGATCACTTTGACACTTTGATTAACTATAATATACAGTTATAAAATGGGTTCCAGGGAAATAACAAATTTATGGATCCCCGAGGAGAAAATGATTTCTTGCAGAGGGGAACCATAAATTTCCTATTTCTTGAGTTCACATTCCATATCTGTTTTATTATACCGAAGCAATCATTTAATTTTTTTTACGAGAAATTCCGACATTTAAAATATACACTTAAGATGCATAATAACAAATGCTTGCGGTTTAAAAGATTGTATGATAAGTAATGCATCCTGTCCTTAAACAATTAAATTATTAAAAAAAAGTATTTTCACTGACATTTCGAAGACTGTACTTTTATTGTTAAAATTACTAATAAATATTCATGAGGGAGTAGTTCCAGGGAATAGCTCTGGTTTTTCAGGGAGCAGTCTTCAGATGAGTGAAATAGTCTCTTCTCGGGGAAATAGACAGTTTTATGGTATTAGTTGTATATAGAGTAGTTACAATTAAAGTATAATAATGATAGCTATGAAGATTTTGATTTACTCTCGTAATCACTATGGAAATTTTGATTTACTATATTGATAACTATGACATTAAAGTAATAACTTTAAAAAAATTGATCTTTTACTTTATAGGGATCACTTTGACACTTTGATTTACTACAGCTTACTATAGTAAACTATACTTAACTCTAGTTAAATAAAGTTATTTTTAGTAAACTACAGTTGTTTTATATTTTCATTGGAGTGTATCAACAAATAAATCAATTTTATAGATTTATATATTACAGATTTATATATTACAAATTTATTATATTACAGATTTATATATTACAATGTAATAAATAAATAAATGAAAATAAATATCTAAATTACAACAAAAAACAGAAGAACATATAATCAAACAATCAAATAAAGAAAAATAGATACATTTGTGCAATAACATATAGACTTACCATGTTTCCACGTTTCTTCGAAAGGTATTGTCTGTTTTTATTTATATAGAGGAATAGCCTTATTAGATCACAGCCTGCTAATTGTTTTTGAGAAGCCTGTTAAATGTGTCGGAAATACATATTTCAATATTAATTTTACAATTCCGACGACACTATTCTAACACCTACATTTAATTAATAAACTGACAATGTATCACTACCATGAAGGAAAGAAATGATATTGATTAATTAGGAATACACTTTAAATACAACAAATTCTCCCTTTTTGTCGCTTTTAGTGATATAAACACGTTATCTCTGAAAACATAATTTAAAACATCTTCTGGGAAGATTTTTTTCATATTCCTAGTGGTAATCCAACTTGCAGAGTGGAAAGTTCTTCATAGGTTTTTCATATCAATTGTTATAATTCTATCCCTAACTCTGAATTGACGACGGATTGTTCCGTTATTTCCCGATCATAACAAGGAGCAAACGGCGGATGTGACCCGTGGGCTGGAGATGCCGACTCTTCCTTTGCACCCGATCCCACCTCTGATCTTTTTAGGTCGGTCTCTGCTCTACTCCTGTTTTGTATTGATTTATGGTCTTTTGAACTTGAATATTGTTTGCTATCTCCATATGTTTACTTTCCTCTAATGATAATTACTAATTATGTTGGAGATTTAAATGACATACCACATATCACTCACACAAAACATTGACATTCAATGGAATAAAAATACCCTTCAACATGATTTTTTATATATACTTTTTTCTTTTATTTTTTTTTATTTTTTTTATTTTTTTTTTTTTTGGTTTTGTTTTTTTGGTTTTTGTTTTTTATTTTGGTTTACAAACAAATTTGCTTCATATAAAACAATAAACAGAAAACATAAGCACAGTCTTGCAAAACAGAGAAAATACTGGTGGACCTTTCATATTTCCCGCTTATAAAAAGTCATATGGTCCATAACTAAGGGTATTATTCGAAAAAAAAATCCATTCTCATTAATATATGTTACTGTACTTCATGTTAGTCAATTAAAACAAATGAAACGAAAGAAAGGGACTCAGAAAGTTCAGTTTAAAAATTATAATAAAATCAAGTAGTGGTTACTTGTTCGTGTTTTAAACTTCAGAACATTTATTAACAATAATAGTTCGTTTAGAGTAGCGAACATTTAAATGTTGCACACGCTTTAGATTTCAGCAAAAAAAAAAAATTAAAACATGCGCTTTCATGTACATACATAAATTTTAGTCTTTAATGCAAGTTGAATATATTTCTCCTGTTTGTTGGAAGATTTTTCTTAATTTTTTTTTTGTACTTTTACTTTAATCTGATTTTGACTGATTTGTCAGGAAAATGTACATATTGGCTACTTTTGTCCTTGTTATAAAAAAAGAGCTCTTAATGTAAAATATCCATAACACAGTACAACAATTTTCATAATAAACATCAAGTAATTAAGGAGGCGGGGTTGGGGAATCGGAGGGCGGTGGTCGCACATTTACTTCTCCTCCCCAAAATACTAAATGTTGGATTTTGAACACTCGATTTCTTAATACATAAATTTGTAGGCAGTCAGTTAAAACAAGAATACATGTATATATTTTTGGAAATTTTCCGTTGGTAGTCAGGTAGTGGCATAGATTCATTTTCATTTGGTGCTTATTTATTTAATTCTTCTCCTGGATTATTTATTTTCCAGTAGAACTTTCCGTATTCTTCTCTCTATAACAACAAGACTGCGCGACACAGATTTAAGATTTAGAGGTAAACCAAAAGCTAGATATATAAACATGCCAAGACCACCGTTAAAAAGCGTATGCAACACTGAAAATAATTGTAATTCAGTGAGCTGAGCCAAAAAGCCGAACAACCATGCTACACCAACCAAGGTAGAAAGCCGGAAGTACGCACCTAATCTACTCTTTTCCTTTGACTTTCTTATATCGATCTTTACACAAATCCGAGATAATGTCACCAGAAACATGAAAGAATTGATACAGATGAATAAACCAACAGGTAGTGCAAAAGTAAAGAGGGTCATATTTGGGTCCGCAATGTAGCACGTGCGAGGAGAGTAGCCAAGACTCTCCCATTCACTTTGGAAAAGGCTTACAATAACATTCACAGCAACTATTGCCAAACATAGAACGGCATCAACCAGTAAAAAAAATAATACCCGCAAACCTTCTTTTTTCTGTAGAGCTGATAAAGTAGTAAAGGATTGAAAGATTTGAAAGGTAGATAAACTCATCCAACATATGACAGAAAGCCAGATGAAATGAACCATCATGCCAATCCCAATACACAACGACTTATTCCAAAGAAAAAACTTAGAGAAAGTGTAAACTGTATTTGCCAAAACTGACAATACAGCTAATGTAATGATATTGTTATCTGCAAATGATCTGTTGGATTTGTTGAGATAAAACGTTAGTATTGTAACCAGAGAAGCAATGGAGGAGAGAGAGAGACATGTTAGTGAAAAATACTTCATTAAGTTGTCATCTGAAATTTCAGTTAGACTGTTTACTTGGCTGATAGCTTTAAGGTACTGTTCGAGACATATTTCTACACTGCGCTTATCCTGAGCCTCTTTAAACTGATTTGAAAAGAAGCAGGCTTGAAAGTCTACTAGACATACAGAAAAGTGTGACACATTTAATTTGGCGTCTGCTGTTTTCACTTTCACTTTAGGACAGCGATACCAGTCAGCTACAACAATCACCATGTCGAAAACTTGCAATTATTTTTATTGGTGGATTTTGAATCTTGGTAGATGAAACATGTACTTCCCTGTTTAATTTACACTGCATAAAATAATGACCTACATGTACTTATCTTTGGTGCGGGCGATATTTTTTATTTGTGCGGGTACGCTTGGTACTACATGTATTTCCGTCTTTACTTATTTCCCTATTTGATAATAATCCGGAAAGTAGAAATGAAACTTGATAGAATAATATATATCCAGAAGTAAAATCCACGATTAATACATTTTGGAATGATTTTAGCTCACCTGAGCCGAAGGCTTAAGTGAGCTTTTCTGATCACATTTTGTCCGTCGTCCGTCCGTCCGTCCGTCTTGCTGTCCGTATGTCCGTCTGTCTCTAAACTTTTCACATTTTCGGCTTCTTCTCAAGAACCAGTTGGCCAATTTTAACCATGCGTGGTACAAAGCATCCTTTGGTAAAGGGGAGTTTAAATTGTTAAAATGAAGGGCCAAGTCCCCTTACAAGGGGAGATAATCAAAAAAAGACAAAAATAGGGTGGGGTCACTAAAAAATCTTATTCTCAAGAACCACTGAGCCAGGAAAGCTGAAACTTATGTGGAAGCATCCTTGGGTAAGGTCGTTCGGGATCATACTCATAATAGTTAAGTTCCGGGTTACCCCGGTATAAATACATTTTATCTTGACTCATTGGATTCAAATAGAAACGGTTACGAATATTTGTACCGAATAAAGAATTGCCATGGATATGAAATCTTTGCCCAACAACAGAAAGAGTTACATTAACTTCTCTGTTTAGAGATGATAGAAGTACCGACATATTCTGTATAGAAAACACATTTTTCAACCTCTGTATCATAATGTCAACGTTATGAAAATGGTCTACCGAGAGTTCCAGAACAATTGCCAAGAAATCTGGTTTTAACGGAGTCAAAATTGAAATCCGACAGAGGAAATCAGTCAAATTATTAAAAAATATAATGCTTGCAACGTCTGCTTCAACATCCCTTAAATGGTATTCCCAATTAATCATGTCGGAATCTTCTGGAAATGTAAGCATTAGATTCAATTCGTAGTTGCTCTTTCCAAGCATTTGATAACGAAGTTGGCAGGTTGAGTTGTTGTAAATGTATTCTGGCTCACATTCAATATCCAGGCACTTGGACTGAAATAGACAAGACAGTTTTAATATATATATATATATATATATATATATATATATATATATATATATATATATATATATATATATATATATATATATATATATATATATATATATATATATAAATCAGCATGTAGTTCAAAAAAAGCTAAATATGACTTTAAAAGGGAATAATTCATCTGTAAAAGCGGGCCTCGAGACTGAGAATTTCATGTCTTCTCTATTTGTTGGATGTTTTGATCCAGAAGAAGAATAATTAAAAATTTCAAATGAGAAATGAACAAAAAAGATAAATATACTTTACCAATATATAGCAAGACGATTTATAATTAAATCTTATGTTTCATTGTCAAAACAGGAAAACGTTAATAAACGTTTTAAATTTTTTAATTGATTAAAAATGTATGTGAAGTAGAAAGACAAATATTGAAATATGACATACCATTTCTTTGTCAAATACTTGATTTTTTGCGCAATTAGTGTCTTTTGTGTTCACTTCATTTTCAGTTTGTTTGAAATCCATCAGAGCTGTAAAGGATGAAAGCATAGAAGTGATGAATCCTGCTCCGCCTACGTCATTTTGAATCGTAAGATCAAAGACAACTTTTTCACACAGGGCACAATAAATGTTTTTATAAATGTTATTGGAAGTCTTGTAGGGTAAGTAGTATTTCTGACAAGAGTCACGAAGGATAGCCTTTGTTTCTTCTGTTAGTCTGTGGAGTTTGTTGCAAGTAGGAACAATTTGAGCTGTATATTTTACACAGGGATTTATTATCCTTTGAATATACTTTGGTGGATGAAATCCAATGTTGCAGACCGAACGGTTTATTGAAAACACAGATTTGTAAAGAGTTTCGAATTTATCATTTGAAAAAAGCGCCGATCGATTCATGCAAATTTTTTCCGTTTCCCAAGGAACCATATCTAAAATTGATTCATTATTGCATAATGAGCACTGGATATTAAGATACGTTTCATTTGTTAACAATGACGTCACTGGCGTAGCATTTGTAATGTTTCTAGATTTAGGTGACAAGCAAGTAGCTCCACTTTGACACGTATCAACCATCCAGTACGATTTACCAAGTCTAATTCCCGTGTCTTTATTCCACAAAGGCTCAAGGCAAGACAAAGGCGGACCTCTTTCTTTTCCCTCTTCAATTGACATATATTCAATGAAGTCTGGAGTAACGGATTGTCTGTAGAATTTAGAAGGACAACAAGTGGCTTTTCTCACACAAGAATCTTAAAAGTCACATTGTGTACACGATGGATGCAGGATAAAAGTATAGTTCCTCCTAAATTTTGGTCCAAGACACATATCCTGTTCAGGGCATAGCAGAAGATAATTCTCGAGCAAGAATTTTGCCTCTGTATCTTCGATCCATGAGGTTAGATTTTCTGAATCACTGAAGTCGTCAACGGTTGGAAAGAGGAAATCCTCGGGAATAAAGATTCCCCCTAATGCTACACCAACTGTTGAAGTTATGAACAAAACGGGGATCTATAAAGGAAACAGAAATAAATAAGAAAAAGATATCAAGTTAAAAAAAAAAAAGAAAAAATAGAGCAAGTTTAAAAACTTCAATGGGAAATAAAGGGGGTAGGGAAAGTATGTAAATCCTGACTCACGTCATTTTCCATTAATGTTTTCAACTTGTTATTTATTACATTAATATGTACTAGAGTATGTATTTGAGATTGACATTTAAATAGAAATATTGCGATGACTGTCTTGCGTAGATTCTAATAAACCGCGAAAGGTGTAATGGTTTGGAAATAGCAATGATGTTACTTAATATTCAAATTATTAAAGACATGAAAATAATGTATTTATTGTGTCTTTAAAATATTGGAGAATCAGGCGCTTTTTGAAGCATCAATAAAAGTTAAAGGTGGGTGATGAAAGTATCCGATTTATTTTTTTGTATCATGAAATACCCTTCCACCTCAACCCTTGAGCTAGGTGTTAAAAATATATTCTTTTCCCTTTTGTTTATTTAAATTACGTTTTCGTTGTTTTACATGTTTTAGCTATATAAAATTATTAAAGTTATGGAAATATTATTGAGAATTTTTTTCTGCTGTGGGTTTTTGTTTTTGTCTTTTCAGATATAAGAGATTTCGTTGAAGGAGAGTAACGATGCAGATCTGAATTTCCTGCTATTTCCGTATTCTGGGACCTTTGGAATGATCTCTGGCCGAATACCATGCGTTACAAGGGTCAACTTGGCGAATTTTTCATTCGAGGAGTTACGGGAAAGATAGTTCAAGAAAATGTTAAGGTAGTCTCAACTATACTTCACAGTAATCGTATTGGCGAAATCGTCACCTTCAATTTAACCATTGTACTGTTGAATTTGTTGACTTTCTGTGGTTGATGTTGATATATGTGATGTTTGATGTTGATATATGTTATGTTGGCTTTGCGAATTATAACTTATACAATGTTAATCTAAAGCAAAATAATATAATTAAAAGATAATGTATGTTGTAATGTGTCCGTAGCACGAATGAGGTCAACCCAGCGTGCTACTTTTCCCGTCAGGGAGGGCACGACATATGTTGATGTTGGGAGTATGCCAGTTTCCTGGCAGACCCATGGTGTGTAGACCACTGTGGACAATACCTGCCAACTCGAGTAAAACATCAAACTTAAAAATACTGAGCATTTTTTATTACATATAGGTCTTTGATAAACTCTTCTATTGGAAATGATAACACCTCTGAAGTTTTAAAGGCCTGTATTTGCTCACAACTGATGGACTTTTTAGCTTGGTTGTTTTTAACATTTACATATATGATTGCGCCAATGAGAAAAGGGTCCTTATGGGAATTTTTACACATTTTGAGTTCTTCGTGAATTTTGATAGAGGAACTTTAGAAGTTGTCAAATATGAATTTTTATGGTCCTATGTCTACTCTAAGTAGGTTTTTTCTTCATTTTAATCAAAGATACTTTAACAGGTTCATAATGACGTCATCTTTTTCAACAACGTCAAAAGTTTTTAGAGTGAACATGAAATAATTTTGTTCTGTAATTTTACTACGGTAGTTAATAGCTGTATAATGTATTAAATATTTACCAGTACATATTATTTTTATCTCATTGTATCATTTAATAATTTAATAATTATGGATTCAGCAGTGGTGTATAGTATTATGAGTATTTGTTTGTTTTACATTTCACTTTTCCATGACAACAGGGGGAGACCTTAACATTGGGCGACATTCATTCAGTTTTTCAGAAATAATTATTTTTTCAAACCAATTTTTTACTAGTAATCCATGCAAGAGTCATTTGAGAAGCCCGTAGAATTGATAAGAAAATTATTTTAACTTAAACTTAAATGCTCTCGATAGGTCAAGATGTAATTTTTCTTGTCTGAATTCACCTTAGAACGATACATCTTAAGTTACCATTTATGTGAAAAATAATTTTAAAAAATATATCTGGAACAACAATAAGCTACTTAAATGCTATTGAGAAGTGAAAATTTTCTTGATTGTTCTTTTTTTTCTGAATTTTATATAAAGACAGAAAATTTGTGAAGTGTGGTATCATGTAATTACAATAGGGGTCAAAAAATATATTAAACAATACACTAAATATTTTTCATTCTAGCAGTAAAAATATTTTAATATTCACCAAATAAAACGATGAAAAAATTATAAAAAAATGAATGAGTAATTAGCCGCACACTCTTACACAATAGATAGAACCAGGATTAACATTGGTAGGATCATGTGTGTTTTGTGGAGGAGGGGGGTAAAAATGTAAATGGCAGAAACTTACGATTCTTGCGAACACGATTTAAAATACATAAATAAATATATTTTTTTACTTCCCAAGTTCTAGATGCAAACGCGTGGTGTCTCTCCTACACCCAGTACCATTTACCCTACAACTTGTAAATTACTTTTTTATTTAGGTTTGAAATAATACCGCATATTATTCCTCATTTTATATTAATACCTTTAATTCCGAACATTGCCATTTTCAAAATCATGAGGACTATCAGTATGAGCCTGGAACTAAATTGCTATGAATTCAGTCTTGTTAATCAGGCATAAATGACACCCTAGAATGACAAAATCCGATTTTATGAAATGGATGGTTTTAGAAGCATACCCATAGAATTAAATTAAATTAAAGATGCCATTTACAAAAATTTAATAAGAATTTCGAACAAAATTGGTTCGTCGCCCCCCCCCCCCCCCTCCATTGATAAAAACATGCGTAGAATCGCAATATGTCGCCCCCGACTTCGTTCGGGGCGACATAATAATGATAAGAAACAGAGTAAAACATATCCAGTAGACAGATCCATAATAACATCGTTTAATTTTTTATAAAATCATGCAGTTTATCGTATAGATTTTGTTGTGGTTGGGTTGGTTAAAATTTATAAGCATGTAATTTTTCATGCCTAAATACACAGTCAGTTAAATTCGACTGTTTTGAATAATTTATTTTCTGACAACTGTCTGTGAACTGGCGGAGTTTTGAAATATCAGATTTTTGTAGGGATGTAAACATCTTAGAAAATTCATATATTATTTTACGACTTGATAAAAAAAAAAAAAGAAAAAAAAAAAAGAAAAAGAAAAAAACCATTTCATTCATTCTATTGATTTGTTTTCTAATTTTATTATGTGAAGTGTGTTTTACAGAGTGTGAATTTTATTCTGGTCCCGTGCTAGAAGCTTGGATATGCTAAGCCTTATAAAGCCTTACATGTTACGGAAATATAAAAGGACACCCACACCTCAACCCCTGTACTGCCGCCAAAATAAAACAAAATGCAAGCATATTGTTGTAACGTTTTATGTCGTGTATTTTCAGCATTGGATTTTATTTTCTGCCTGCATTTACATGTAGAAATAAAACCCAACCTGAACTTATAAGGATTTTTTTTATCAATCAAAACAAATAAAATCATACATGTATTATGTGCATATATAATAATATTCATGCATAGTTCAGTGATGAACTAAGTTTTGAGCGTGATAATTGATCTGTTAAGAGACATTCAATGCTGATAGAGCTTTGGTGAAAGATGAAGTTCTTCATGGCTTTAGAGATTAATTTGCAGATAAGGCTTAAAAAATTTGAACTCTGTATAAAAAGCAACACGTAAGTACCAAAAGATTAACATGTATATTTTGGAGATCTTAAAATAATAAATAGTCATACATGAACAAAAAGAATTTTTCTTGCATTTTACGGTATTTTATTTGTTTTAAAAATTCATCTTTTTCAATAAAGTTTCACATTTCTCAATATTAAATAAATAGATTCAATATAAATATTTTTATCTACCCCCCAAACTCTCTCTCTCTCTCTCTCTCTCTCTCTCTCTCTCTCTCATCAGATTCACTTGACCCGCTCTATTTAAGTTAGAACATTTAGAACCATTTTTTCATTCGGATGTTTTTGCTTCTTTTATTTTCTCTAAATTGAAGCGTCTTTGTGCAACAAGAAAATAAGACAAAACAACATTTTTTTTTATTAAAGTTTATTTCATTTAATCATAATTATAGGGTAGACAGTATTCATGTATATTATTTTTAATAAAAAATGAAAATTGTTTGTAAATTATTTCATGAAAAAATGCTATACATAAGGGATTTGAAAATAAAATTGAAAGTCTGGTTCAATTTTGCAGTTTTCCTTTTTTTCTTTGTTTTTCTTTTTCTACATTAATTTAAACTTTAGAGGACATTGTTTCCAGAGTACAAAAAAATTTTTTTTTAAAATGATAATTGTGCTGACAATTAAAATTGTTTCCATTTGGTCATAAAAGATCTCTTTTATAAACTGGGAGCAAATTCGTGCGAACATGCAGCTAAAATGTTAACAAGTACGCAATTAAAATAAAAGTCCCTCTCTGGAACCCCTGTTACATCGATTGTTGACATCAGAGTTATCTCTCCTATTTTTTTATTTATAGAAAAATACCAATATCTTGACCGTCTTTCTTACACATTTTTGCTAGATTTGTAAAAACTTTGCAGACATGTTTAGTTTCACCATTAACAGAAAGAATTTAACAAAAATTTAAGCAGTATGCACCGATGAGTCAATGTTTACATGTGATCGACACGATCGAGATGTATATATTGAGAGTAGTGGAGCGGATCTCACAAAAGGACGACAATTTTCCATTGCAATAGTTTAACAATATACCCCCATCTAACATGTATCCTCAAATAGTCTAAATATTAGAATAAAATTTATTTTTGTAGAGTATACACGTTTATTATCCCATCAGAAAAAAATACCTTATATAACGGTACATGTTGGAAAACTTATTGCCGTATTGGTACAGGCCTTTCAGGGACGATATGTTTGTAAAGAAACCAGTTCTAAATGATTGTATTTATATCTATTAAAATCAGTGAATTAGGGGATTCAGACATTGATTAAACTAATTTATAAATGAAAATAAATTCCACTCGTTGGAAACGGCGATAAAAAATCTGGATGTGTCAAACGTCAAAACACGTGGATAGAAAAAAAATCTGCGTCGAAGTTCACCGTCAGTCTGCAACGTCACATCTTTATGACGTTATTTCTTTGTTTAAGTAAAAATGTCATAAGGACCCTTTTCTCATGGGCGCAATCATATATATCATTACAT